CCTAAATTGTTTTTTTTAAGCTGCGCTAACCGATTCCTGCTTACACTGCCTTATATTACCAGCATTATTTCAACTTCTTCATGATCATGGGATATTTATTACCGTTTCTCATAAACTGATGACCTTGACAGCACAATAGAAAATATTGACATAAATTTGCTCTTTGAATTCCGGGAATAAATTCCCTATTCTTTGATATCAATGATCTTCTTTACAGAAGCGTTATTGCACTGTGAGAAACAAATCTAAAGTGATTGAACAAGACAATGGTCAGCCAAACAGATCGATGTTTGTTGAATATTATAAATATGAGCAGGCATTACAAATCCTTTTGATCATTATCTGAAAGCATTATTTTTTACGATCAGTTGACTTACAACGACTTAGCAAGTGAAAGAGTATTTTTAATCAGTTTAATGGACATTCGGATCGTGTCATGGTCATACCTAAAGTAGGGGTGATGGAACTTAATATGAGAAAAAGGAAATGACCGAATCAATCAATGTCTGATCAGGATCACAGGACTACCTATGTCCCGTTCACACCGACTACGTACCAAATAATACATTACCACGAACTACCAAGTTACCATGGTTACAATGGGGCGGTGTAACTGCATGGGGTATGATTGGGGCCGCATTTATGCCTATATTAACTCTTCTTAAATCGATTGCATGCATAAATATGCGGTGTGATAATAACTAATACACAATATAATTAGTAATCAATACTCAATGTTGAGTAACTAATACTCATTGCCTTCAATATAATCGACTTACCCATTCGTATCATGAAAATACACTATTTTAAGCAGGGGCGGCGGAGTGTCTTTCAAATTGGGGAGGGGGCACTAACAAAAGGGTTACTTTCTGGAAAAAGGGGCACCTACAAAGGGAAACCTCAAAGCGAAAATATACAAATTTTAGACATTGGTAGGCCCTTACAGGCCTTAAATTTCAGTATTTTTAGGGCAAGGCCACTTTTCTGTAGGGCACATTCCTATATTACAGCACAAAATAGGAAGAATTGGAAAGGGCACACAAAATCTCCAAGGCCAATGAGAGGGGTATTGAGGCCAACCAAAGGGGCATCCACGGCCATGACCTTGGTGACCTTGGATTAATTTTAGCCCTGCCCTTATACCCCTACATTGTGATTAGATTATCAGGGATGATTTCATTGTTTGTTTCCCTCTTTACACGGTCCAATATACTGCTTTATCATCATACTTTGCAGTTTGGTTTGATGGTCTGAATATTTTATTTGCGAGCGAGCAAAGATTTTAAGTTATGTGAGGTCGCAGTGCGAAAAATTACATATTATAAAGAGGAAAAGATCCTTGATAAGAAACATAATTATATTAACTTTAAATGCGGGCGAGCATCGGGTGAAATTGAAGAAAAAGTTGCTCTTAGACACTTTTAACTATGAGCATTTATGGTGAAAGGAAAGGCGGCACATATCCAAAGTTAAAATGACACTTATTAGAAGAAAAAAAGGAGCACGTGTCAAAGTAAAAATTAGAATTATCAGAGGTGAAAATGGGGCACTTCTCGCACCTATTAAGGGGCACTCACAAGAGATTGAACAAGGCACTTATAAAATGGAAAAGGGGCACTTATGAGTTATGATAACGGAAAAGGGGCACTTATTACAAAGAAAAAGGGGCACTAAATCCCCCTGCCATCAACTCCGCTGCCTCTGATTTCAAGAGAGTATGGGTCTCCTTCACAGCTTTTCCGTAAGCAATAGAGGAATTTATGATTAAAAGCATTACAAAAAATATGATTGGTACGGTTGAACGATCGGTTTTCATTATTTTGTTTTTCACTTTCTCAATCACTCCCTAAGGATGCAGACCGTTACCTCAGCCATCTTCACTGTATGATCTAAACTTCTTACCTTCTTTCTAAAATTCGTTTATTGAGATGTTTATAATCAATTTACATTATTCATGATCAAATTACGGATTGAACTGAATTAATTTTAAGACACACATTACACAAGCTTTACCTTTTATCACATGCCACCGTCTTTGAACACAATTTTTCTTGCGGCCCTCAGGATTTGATTTTGTTTTGGATTTCTGTGTATTTGTTATTCTATTTAAAAGATCTCCAAAAAGATATTGATAAAGCTCATGAATTACACATTTCGTATCAGAAATACATCTATCTGATGTACTGTCTATTTTTTATGAACAATTATTCAAGAGAAATACATATGAATGGATGAATAAATAATCCTGGGTCATTGACATAGTCGTCATCGTCGTCGTCATCATCATTATTACCACGGTCATCAGTATCATCATCATAATCATTATCGTCACCACCACTATAATCCATTTCTTCATCATCAGACTGGTCATCTGGGCAGTCGAACATTGAACCTATTGACACGACCTAAAAACTACTGAACTAGATTATTCGATATAAATATTGCCTTCTCATGGTCACTGTTATTCTAATTTTATATCAAATACAGGGTTTATTGATAAATTGAAAATGAAAATAAGAAAATTGTTGCTTCCTTCATTGGGTTAGAGGTGGTAAGGTCCTTCCAAGTAAACATGACAATATATCCGGTATTATCAACAACCTAACGTCCGGTTTGATGACTTAAAAGTTGAAAGGGAAAAAACAATAAAAATACTCAAATACCCATGATGAATTTGCTATATACATCCACGACTTTATTTTATGTATCACATAATGACAACACAAAAAGTTTGTCATAACAACTACAGGCACAATTTACATTACAACCTTTCATTGTTAAAATTAGTTTTTAAAAATGTCAAGCTCTTGCTGGTGAAATTCGTGACTCGTCTCTGTTCATCATTATTTAGGGAATATAGTTGGTGTAAAAAAAATACAGGGATACAACCCTGTGATATAATGAAAACCTTACATGGTTCGTGTTAGGCAGGACAAAGTATATTATTTTATATCAAGGCATTAATACATAAATATATAAAGTTTGTTTGTGATGTTTCAGTTGGTGGAAAACAAACTTACTAATGACGGCACGGTTCGACTAGTGCAGGCACCGAGAGGTAGCTAGAATCGTAGAAAAAAATAATAAAAAAAGAAAATACACAAGAACCTTAGATATTAGAGTATTCAACAATTACATGTATGTAAAGTAAACACTCTTTTCCTAGTACAATAACACCAATTCTAATTATTTCGAAATTATAAACGATTGCAAATTCCATTTCATTGTTGATTATTTTTACTATTTACTGTCTAATAACATGTATACAAAGATGTAAACATTTTCGGGTATAGTTTATCCATTACATTCACTACTTTTGTCCAAATTTTGCAACTTATTCTGATCAAAAGTGTCCAAAGATATGAAAATGAAAAGTAGTAATAATGAAAAGTAGTAATACAAGATAAAGACATCTACCATCAGGAGACGGTACTTCCATATTCTGAAAAAGTGGAAATTCATTCTCTGTACTCCATAAGGTATATTCAATAATCGCTAAATCAGAGAATAGATACATTAATTATAAAATAAAAGCTATAATGCACACATAAACATCCAAATTGGTGTTTAAGGTACAGAGAGTACTGTTATTATACTTTGGTTTTAATGATCATCTTCGATATTTGTCAAAGTTTAGGGACTCACATTTCTAAGAACTTTCTATGCTCATGTAAAATTTCTTTAGTTTATAGTTCATAAAAAAATATTTTAACACAAAATATACATCATAAATAATTTTTTTTTAAAATGGTCATATCTTGGAGACAACTGGGCCACATGTGACATCCAATGACGGGGGTAATAGTTTATTTGTAAAGCGCTTAGAGACATTTGTATTAAGCGCTATATAAAAGCTATATTTCTTATCAAACTCCTTAGTGTTTTTTTTTCACACAATCTTTTCTGGGTACATGTGCAAACGAAAACCAGTACTAAGTAGGCCCAATGGTGATGAAAGGAAAAGTGTGCTTTGTCACATTTCAAACACAAAATATCTTAAAGGCATTTAATGAAAAAGACACCTCAAAAAGAAAACCAGTATCAGTGTTGAGCATGAACAACGACCCTGTAATTTTCAACATTTAAAATGCCTTTCTAAAATATTGCATATAGCCCTTAAAGGTATTAGAAAGTTTTTGGAAATTTTGAAAAATGGGTGGATAGTGATTCTTTACAATTTTGACATATTTGGATGCCCCTGTGGATGTATTAAAAACACCAGAAATTTTAGCTCCTTTATTATTATCCATTATTGGTCAAATATATATTTAAATTAGTACCTCTAGTTTGTTTTTATCTATAACATTTCTTCTAAATTCATGAAAATCGAAGAATAAATAGTAACAAACAAAAACTATATTCTGAAAACACATTTTATGCATTCGATCAAACACATATAAAGGAACAGTACTGACAGGCGCGGATCCAGGATTTCTTAGGGGAGGGGGCCCAACCTTTTTTTTTTTTGCTCCCGAAAATTTGAAAATCGTGCCGGCCGAAAAGTCGCTCAGTGGGGGGGGGGGGGGGGGGGGGGTACAGAGCACAATTTTTTTTTTTTTTGCTCCCGAAAATTTGAAAAAACGCGCCGGTCAAAAATTCGCTCAGTGGGGGGGGGGGGGGTAGTGAGCACATTTTTTTTTTTTGATCCTCAAAAAAATTTCAATATGCACCCCCCCCCCCCTTGAGCGCCAGGGGGGGGGGGGGGGCCCAACCCCCCAAAAAGGTAAAAATCACGTGATTTTACATGATTTTTTTCTCAAGGGGGGGGGGGGGGCCGGGCCCCCCCCCCCCCCCCCCCTGGATCCGCCACTGAGTACTGATTCCAATATCATTATAGCCCTGGTTCGGGGCCTGAAGAAAATACAGAATTTATATAGCAGTCACTTGAAAAAAAGGACTTGCGTATTCATCATCTCAACAGTTCTGTATAACGCAACAGATATCGCGCTTTAATCATGTTCCTTCGGTTCATTTTCAAGTTATACGATGGACTAGCTAGACTATAAGGGGACATCCCTTGATGCACCTTCCGAGGATACACCAGATGGCTGTGCCTTTGTAGGATCACTGGTATCTGTTAACCCTTTGAATATCTTCACTTTGAACGATCTTTCGAATCCCTTCTGGAACTGCTGATACTGCATGGTGTAGATAAAAGGGTTTGCGCACAAGTTAGCATAAACGAAAATTTTAGTGACGGCATACCAGGTACCCGAAAAGTCCAAGGGCCCACCGAGATTGTAGACAAGGAAGTTGAAGGCGATAGGTGCCCAGCAGATAGCGTAAGTAAGTGAGACAGTAATCATGGTCTTGATGACATTGCGTGTGGCCCTCTCGCTTCTCTCCGACATGACTCGTTTAGAACGACGCATCGCTTTCGAGGCTGATGTTGAAGCTGGGGACGATTTGGGAGATGGTGCTGGAGCGGCTCGAGTGGCTGGCTTGCGAAGTTTTGACAAGATACGGACATAGCTGAACCCCATTACACTCAGAGGTCCAGCATAGGTTATGAAAAAGATAAACACGCCGATGACCCCCTGCAAGATCTTGTTAGGCCAACTCGGGTAGCATCCACCAGTAGGAAAGATGACATGGATAGCGGGCCAGTAACAGTCAAGGACGAAACCAGAAGCCCACGTCATCACAGAAATCAACTTGACCCTCCGTTGTAGCTTCCTGGCAGAGCTGCGGTATTTTGTCGGGTAGATGATGGCACAGTAACGATCGAGTGTGATACAGACGAGGTTAAGACTGGACGAAATGAAGAGGGCCCAGAGAACGTACTCAGAAACCCAGATTCGGCAGAATATGATGTGTGCCAAGCTTTTTGGGTCTAACGTCTTCTTTGGGAGGAAGCAAATCAGCAAGAACGCAAACGAGGTGGTGAAGTCGATCAGGGATTGGTTGATGATGAAGGAGTTGACGAGGTTCCGAAGCGACTTGTCTTTGAAGAAGACGAACAGAACCATACCATTCCCTACCACACCAAGGCAACCGATAAGGGCTTCAAGAATGATCCAGATCATGGGTTTAGCTCCAAATCCACCACCACCACCCTCATCACCATCGGTGATGTTATTCGTTCCATTGGCGTCATCAAACTCGAAGTATGTCACGTTTTCAGAGAGCAAGCTCATAAAATCCGTCATGTTTGAAGAATTCTTGCCTCAGAGTGATCCCAGAAAATAATTTCCTAGTTGTAATAAGCACACTCAAACCGTAAATGTTGACTTTCCGGCTTTCCTTTTCAATAAGTTTACCGGAGGGAAATGACGCGGTTAAATATCTACAACGTAAGGCCACGTTCAGTAAACTCTGGACATCGCTAGCTTTATAGCCAGAGATTTTAACGATTTTTATACAATGAAACTACATTCGGGTTCGATTACTGTTGAAACGTCAATGGTCGAAAGCATTATACCTATTCTTGAGACACTCCAGTCACATCCTTAAAAAACAAAGTACGAATCACCTGCGCAAAGTAACCATCAAAGATTGTTATGACAGCGCCACCGAAAGTTGACAATACTAATGAAACAGGAACGTACCATTTAGGTTGTTATAGCACATAATTCCTGTTTGATAAGTCCACGGTAATACATACCAGCTTCCCGTAACTTGATACAGCCCATTCCCGAAATACATGCCATGCTAAAATAAGGTTATTTTTGCCTGTGTGACTCCAAATAAGCGCAATCGTTCATTATGGCGATGTTGCCTACGTCACGATATAATAGAAAGTGTATGTCATGCTAGAATGATATTAGTTTGAAGCGTGGTCATGCTTGATCCGTCTCGCAAGGTTGCTGTTTTATGCAGAGAATGAAAAAAAAAATATATAAAAGGAAGTTCTTCTGTCAAAAGTTGCGGGTGAAGTCAAACAACTTTGGCGTCTAAGTACCATGCTCGGAAAGCAAGGGGGGGGGGGGGTGATGCCGTGGCTTGTAATATCTGCTGGTATGATCAATAATTATGTACATTTGCCGCAGAGTATTATAATGATAGGGTAAAGCTTTGAATCCAAGGCAGGGCTGCTTGTTGATTAATTATCCCTTTGTCTTTATCGAGGCATCATAACATGAATAATAGATCGGTTATGCCAGGGGCAACTCCCTGGTTAAGCTATGTTGAAGCCTAATATGTCCATGAAAAAGACTTTTTTTTTCTAAAGCAATCGTGAAACTCTACTTCAAGAAAAAGAATTTCCTTTCTTTCTTTCTTTTTTTCTCAAAATAGAATCGGTAATTTTTTCCATAAATGTCACTGCATTCCAAGCTGATCTTAGATGTGTACGGTGTTGTAAAACTCTTCCGAGTACGTTTAGGAAGAGTTACCGACAATCTTCAGTTACTAACGGGGACAATTTTGTTTTTAAATCCGAGAATCATTTTCCTGTGGCGTCATGTAAGGAAATAGGCTGATGTCTATAACAGAGATGTCTTGTATTTGGGTAACTTAGATGGATAAAAATCACTGATCACTCATACGTGAGTTGGTCTACCGATAGGCCTACGTTCACTTGGTCAGCTCTCTGTCTTCGCCTACAAACTGGTTCAGGCGAACCCCAGTTTGAAACTGAGTCTCGTCTTTCGGATGGTGACGTTAAAGGTCTGTCCCCAGACGTAAACTATCATATCGGATTGCCATGTTGGAAAATCTCAATTACACTTGATCAAACGATGAATTGTAGATTACCGGTATTTGATGATACCACAGTCCGTGCATGGTTCCTCGGTATAACTTGTTTCCTCTGATTTCCTCATCAAAGGGACGCCTCTGATCAATACCTGCAGAAGAAAAAGATATAAAAAGAGAGAAAACCAATCAGCCATGCATGAATTCTTCGTCTATGGCTGATCTTCAACGAAACGGAGTTAAGTCTTTTGTAGATTCCGTTTGTTGCTACGACAGGCATGCAGCCAGTGAATTCGTTTAATCAAATTATGGAAATGTAAGCAGTACTTTAAATAAACATAACTTTGTTATTCCCAGCTTCTTCTTTTTTCCTGATTGAGGTGTCATATGAAAGGGTAGAATCTTAACTTGCTATAAATGTGATTTTCCCTTTGAAATTCGGATACCGTCCGCCAAATGATCTTTTGGTTCCCTCTCTTCGAATTGATTTTAATCACCCTGCTGGAAAAAAAAACACTCATTCACAGTGTGAAATCACAGTTCACACTGTGAACACAGTGTGAAACACAGTGCGTGATTCACACTGTGAATGAGTGTGAATGAGTGTGTTCTTTCCTTTTCCGGTTATCCACACTGTGAACGACAGTGTGAAACGAATCGAGCACAATGTGAAAACGCCCCAATTTAACATTGTGGAGCACACTGTGATTCTCACTGTGAATGACTGTGTTCTTTCCTTTTCCGGTTATCCACAAACTCGTATAGATAAAACAATAATGGATACAAAATAATGCTCGTTTTCAGTTACTAATTTCCTGTAAATGATCGCGATTTTGTAGAAACATCAGAACCAGTCATGTTCAAAGGGCGGCGCCAGAGTTTTTAATAGGGGCATAGTACATGACTAAACAATCTCTAAAAATTGGAGGGATGTGCTTGCCAGATTATGGTGGGGGTGACATAACCCTTTCCCCTATAACGTCGCCTCAGCATGCATGATCGTCTCTGCTTCTTCACTCCAATAACTCTGCACACAGAGCGTGATGTTTTGTTTAAGTGAAGGACACTTTGCGTGAAGGACAGCTTTCCTACGTCAACGTTTATAGTACTTAAACTAAACGCCCTTACAATGCGGTATAATATTAATTGGATAATAAATTACGAACATATATTGCGGCGCGATAGCTCAGTCGGTAGAGCAGTGGTCTCCGTAACCCGGTGACCCGGGTTCGAAACCAAGGCGACGCGCCTGGTTGCTTACTAACAAGCATTTATTGCTTTCCTAGCTGTCAGGTAAAATAACCACCTCTATCACTATCACAGCATAATATTAGTTTAGGATATTAGAACTCTTATGTATAGTGCTTGTCAGCACATATCGCAAATCTACTTCTTGCACTCGTATAATTTCATAATTGTTTTTTTTTATAATTCCAATTATACACTTTAAATATATAGATTTTCTGTAGTTAAATTAAGTTAAAAAAATACCATATTGTATGTTTACGGAACAGAATATGGAAATATAATAATGATGATTGTAAATACAACACAAATACTCGTATACATTAACACCCGATTCTCAAATACCATTTCGTAACAAAATGAAGTTTGAATTTACAAGCAATCTGTAATTATGCTTGTGTACTTCTTATATCGTTGCCATTTTTTTCTTTCTTTCTATTCCTACTTGAAAAAATAGAATACTAAGATAGTCGATCATAGTTTATGTGTGATGAAGTAGCAAATGGTGTAAACAGTCGATTTGAGGGAATGTAATGTGAACTTTTCCCCGTTTATATGCTTATTATGATCATGTCCGTTGTTTTCATAAATAAAACATACTAAATGAAGGTGAAGGTTTGTTGTCACGGATATCAGCTAATTTATAAGAAGTCGAATGACGCAAATGACACGACGACGCAATTTGTACTGTACATGCATAATTGCGTTATATCTAATTACGTTATAGCTCTTGTCACTTTTGTTTCCAGCACAGAAAAAAACAAATTGTGTCTGGAGAAAAAGAAGAAGAAGAAGACGGTGAAGGAGAAGAAGAAGAAGAGGAAGAAGAAGAAGAAGAAGAAGAGGAAGAAGAAGAAGAAAAAGAAGAAGAAGAAGAAGAAGGAGAAGAAGAGGAGGAAGAGGAAGAAGAAGAAGAAGAAGAGGAAGAAGAAGAAGAAGAAGAAGAAGAAGAAGAAGAAGAAGAAGAAGAAGAAGAAGAAGAAGAAAAAGAAGAAGAAGAAGAAGAAGAAGAAGAAGAAGAAGAAGAAGAAGAAGAAGAAAAAGAAGAAGAAGAAGAAGAAGAAGAAGAAGAAGAAGAAGAAGAAGGGAAAAAGAGATGTTTTCTCGTAGTGTAAGCGGTAAGGTACTGATACACGAGTTCGTCAAGTCTGATTCGATGGCCGGAGCAATACTATTGCTAGGAGGCACATTGAGTATGTAAGCGCTACATAATACAATTTCAGAAATTACTATATAATCAAATTTCAGTAATGACATGAAAAATTACATGCTCAAAATTAGGAAGGAAGGAGGGGGGGGGGTATAAAGTCATAACCATTCATTAATCATACAGCTAGTATTTTGGATATACAGATAGCCAACATATAGTTATATTCTATATCTGAGAAAAAAGGTTTCTTCGATATAGTCTGTTACAGTAAATTTTGCCGAATCACTTAGAAAACTATATAAAAACCAAACACAACAAAATAAGAATGGTTATGACAACATTGAACTTGTATGTAGCGCGTATCAGTTTCAATATAATTCTTTATGTGCGCTTATAGAATAATTGGTTAACAAAAATTATATTGAAAAATAGAACACTGCCGCAAGGAGAAGAAAACTGATACAAAATATAAAAACACAAACTAAACAAACAAAAGAAGAAAATTTCAACCTTCCTGTTCATACATTAAACGACGGTGATTTCCATACACTGCATCCATTATTTCCAATGTATTTTTTCCATAGGACATTGCAATATTTTATCCCGTATATGCACATAATTCAAATCTTCGGAGATTTTCTGAGATTAAGGGCCCATTTGGGTGGCTTAACATTGCCAATCAAATAACCGACAGGAATCCAGGCAAAAAAAAGAAGCAAACTTCTATTCAACCTTGTGCGGTCACTCATTACTGTCATGATAATCCCGAACCAGTATTACTATAAGATTGATGTCCATATAACGTTGATTGCTTGCCAAGTGCCTTGTATGATCCAGGTATTGGCGATCAAGGCCTTCCACCTACTTCTATCTCTGGTCCTTTGTAATGTGACGTTACATCTGTTACCAGCCAGCCCAATAAACATATCCATGCGTTTGATGCGCTGTCTCTCTCTGCTTCTCTTCTATAATGTAAGTTGACAATGATACTACTCAAGATTTCACTGACAAGCAAGAATAAAAAATACTGGGGAAGGGGGGGGGGGGGAGTAGTGAGCACTAACTTTTTTTTTAACCACACCCCCTTGAACAAAAAAACAAAAAACTGAGGAGGGGTTA